AGATAATATGTTCTAAAGTTTGTTCACACTTATTAAAAATAATATATTAATAACTTTTTGCATGTTAGTGGTGTTATATATAGACACAAAAAGTATTACGTACTAAGAAAACCTATTATTATTTTATTAATTTCATGCTAATTAAATATTAGAAACAAATATTTATCAAATAACATTTAAATAATATTTAAAAAATATTTCCTTTTGCTCTGAAATATTTCCTGTTCATTGATCAATGAAAATTCAGATAATATGTTCTAACGTTTGTTCACATTTATTAAAAATAATATATTAGTAACTTTTTGGGTGTTAAGGTTGTTATATATAGGTACAAAAAGTATTATGTAATAAGAAAATTATTAATAACTTCTTTGTTTCATGCTAATTAAATATAAGAAGCAAATATTTAAAAAATAATATTTAAGAAATACTTTTGATCTGAAATATTTAGCAAACATAAATATTTCTTAAATATGTATGTAATATTTTGTGCTATCTAGGTGGCCGATTGCGGCTTCCTTTAGGACAAATGAAAATGTCTCACGTTATTATCAAATCTACCGGAAATTGCTGATTCAGGATGCGAATATTTATACATTTCCTCTGGGGTTCAGGTGGCCAAATATTGCAAGCAAATTGCGAAATTTCCAATTCAACTTAGGCCACTTTATATTAAAACATTGATTTTCCAACAATTTTTCCGGTACGCTTTGGGAAAAATGCGCGTTTTGAGTAACTTACCAGTGCCAATAATTGTTTTCGGTTATTTCCTTTCTTGATATTAACCGGATTTTTATAGCTTTACGTTTTTTGTTGTTTCTTTACTCCATAAGCTGTAAAAAATCAGGGTTTTGTACGATTTATACGAAACTTTCCGCATCTCGAGCACCAATTCTTGTCTAAAAATGGTAAAAATTTTAAATTGTTGTTAGTTTGGACGGGGCGGATTTTTAGGGGACTAGGCGTTTGCAAAAAATTGTTGTTTTGCTGGATTTTTATGACGCTTTAGCGCGAAATTGATTCTGAAGATGATCAAAATTTGTGATTGTTGCTTGGTTTAATTTGGACGGGGCGACTTTTCAAAGGAGAAAGCGCTGTTGCATGAAACTGTCGATTTTTAGACCAATATTCACTAGCTGGCAAAAAATCAACATTTTGCGGACTTTTATGAAACTTTAGACATCTGGAGCGCCGTTTGTCTTCAGAAGGTGGTAAAAATTGCAAGTTGTTGATTGCTTTAATTTGGAAGGAGCGATTTTTTAAGCTAGGAAAAATGAGGGTTTTTAGGCATTTCTATGAAACTTTCAGCATCTTTAGCTAATTATCTCACTACGACGCTAACAATTCTCTATCCAACGATGCCAAAACGAATTCTGTGGCTCGAATGGTTCTTAAGAAACTTTGAAAAAAGCAGCGTCATGTTCAAGTGGATTGTGCAACTCAAAAAACAACCACGCAAATCTAAAACTTCTTGAATTTAAGGATTTTTTGAGAAAACTGCCAACATTTGCTTATCGATGGTTCAATTTCTCAAAAAGCCATTTATTTCTCTCTAGAATGATGTACAAATGAGCGTTCTTGCTCATTTTGCCTCCGAGAAATGAGCAAAAA